TATAACAATGTATCTGCAAATTTAAGGAGTGAATCTGTATGCTCACTAAAAGTTATTAAATTAAACTCAGGAGACTTGTTAGGGATACTACCAAACATAATTTTCCTATGTAGCCTTGGGTAATACTGTATTCGCATTACACGTTTGCGTACGCAGTCATAACACACCATACTGAAAACAAGGGAACTATTAGGTCCTTCAATGCTGTCTTTGCACACACCCTTGAGAAAAGTTGAAACAGAAATTAAACTCATCTTTTGTTTTCTCAGGAAACCACTGATTTCCTTTTTAAACTCCTGCTTTCCAAATCTTAAACTCATGTCCTATTATCTTTGAGTACAGTACAAAGAATGAAATGACTTTATCCTAAGGATTTCCAGGATAATCTTGTACATTTATAAGATCACCTTTTATCCTTCTTTTCTCAAGAAAAATATATCTCAAAGATCTTATTCTCCATCTTTAAATAACCTTTTCGTGGTATTTCAAGTTAAACCTAACTAGTAATTATTGATTTGTATAAAGGGATAATCTTATTTTGACTTATTACCACCATGCTTATAAATACACCACCATAAAATTATATTAGATTTACTACTAGCAACAGAACACTGCTTCGATGACTTGAGCGATTTATCCACCGTTATACCAAGAGCCTTTTCTTCAGACACGCTACTAAGTGGGTTCCTATTTATACTAAACATGTAATACAAAAATTATGATAACCCAAATGCATTACCTTGCATTTACTATAATTTAAAGTAATTTGAATATTTATCCAACTGACTAATTAATCCAAGTCAGCAGTAATTTTAAGGACTTACAACACTAAAATGCGGGGTTCGAAACCCCCTCTTTGGATAGAGCGCAGATAGACTATATTGTAGCTTTGCGCTAAAGACAACAAACAGACCATCATTGTATAGTGCTTTAACATCCTCAATACAGTTAGAGGTTCTGAAGAAAGTTTAATGTCATTAGCAAATTTTATTAATTACGTAACTATCAATATCATTGACGTAAATAAAAAAAAGTATAGGCCCAAATATTGGCCCCTGAGGATATCTACTAGTAACTATAGTCCAGTTTGAATGAACTCCTTTAATAACAATCTTGCGGCCCGGCATGGCCAGGTCTAGTCTGTCAGCCAGTTTAGAATTAGGTACGGTTTTGCGCAGATAGTAGTGTCGCTTTGCCCAGAAAAATTCTAAAACAAATTCTGAATAATTGTCAGTTGATTGACTGGAGTACAAACTATCTTACCGAAATAAATTTGGCCAGGTGGTTAGGGCGCTCGACTCGCAATCTGAGGGTCGCGGGCTCGAATCCCCGTCCCAACAAACATGCTCGCCCTTTCAGCCGTGGGGACGTTATAATGTGACGGTCAAAGGTCAATGGTAAAAAAGTAGCCCAAGAGTTGGCGGTGGGTGGTGATGATTAGCTGCCTTCCCTCTAGTCTTACACTGCTGAATTAGGGATGGCTAGCGCAGTATAGCCCTCGTGTATCTTTGCGGGAAATTCAAAAACAAACAAACTTTTTACTTTCCTCTATCTAACCACTCTGTATCCTATGAACTAGTCTTTCTCCAACTCCTACCGAAGTGATTTTTTAAGCTAATATTTTGTGTGGCATCTTGTCAAAACTTTTTGATAATCTGAATACACGAAGATAGCAAGTAAAGTAATCAGAAAAAGATAACAGATTATTGAAGAATTATTATTATTATTTGGTGAATCCACGTTGTCTTTCTTTTATGATATCATACTTCATTAGTTCTTTATTTATTTTAATCTCTCATAGTTTTTACTTACCACCAAGAGATCAATATCTACATGATATTCGTTTTTCAAATATTTATTGGAAGTATTAAATATTTCCCATAGAATTTTGGGGTTCGGGAATATTATTATTAACTTCTCTTGTAAGAACAGAAAAGAAGAAACGTTTAAAAGTACAGTCATCTCATAGTCTTTAACAAAAAATCTTGCCATCAGCTTGATTTGAAAACCCAGTCCTAATTTTAGAATTTTCGGACCTTTTGATAAAATTAAAGAAAAAAATACTTTCTGTCCGTTTTAACATTATCAATCAGCTGTATATCATAAGTCCCTTTGGATGACTTTTGTTTTTAACCAGATCCATAGCATCCAATTTTTCTACTTAAACTTAAGACATTTATCCCCGATTTTCTCCGTTATTTCTTTAGTAAGCCATGCTCTTCAACTTTAATTAACGTGATGCGAGAATGATGATAAGTTGCATAAATACCATGAAAACAAAAACTACAAGTAAATTACATCACATAAAACACGAACAACACTACAGCATCTAAGTAGTTCAACTACATGAACAACACTTGTAACAGATTAAACTTTTGTAATTAGCTTAGAAAATGTTGTGTCGTTTTTGCTGTGTTATAACTTTCATACATTTTTGTGTTGTCATGAGTGTATCTTCAACTCATGGGTCATTCCATCTTTGTCGCAGTCTGTTGAAAAATTCGGACTAATGTCACTGCTGTTGTGGATATCTTTATTGTGGGGTAGGTTCTGACTGTTGTGGCTGGTGGTGTAACTCATGCAGTCTTATTGTGGGTTCTAATGAATCCCACTACTTTGTTGATATTTCTCCTGTGGGGGTAGGTTCCTATTGTTGTGGCTGGTGCTGTAACTCATGCAGTCTTATTGTGGGTTCTAATGAATCCCACTCGTACAGTCATATTGTGGATTCTGGCTATTAGTACTGCAGTTGTAGTTTTACTTATTTTTTGAAATAGTTTAAACGTAATTTGATGATTTTAAGGTGAGAACTGGTATAATGTTATTTTGTTATCAGCATATGGTCTTGTATGACGTTGTTGTTGTTATACGTATAGCTATTCAGAATTATATAATGGTAATGTGTTCATGATTATCATGAAATATTATTAAAAACACCATAGTTGTCTTGAAATATTGTTAAAACTTTATCATAAAATACCAGATATTTTTAACATGTTTATATAATAACAGCTTCCGATCAGAGTAAGTTATATACTTAGAGCAAAACTAAAAATCAACTTAGCTATCAGCATAGCTAAAAAAATATAATTTTCTTTCGTTTTCCTTATAATAAAGATTCGAATGCATTATTTCATCAGTTGGATAACCTCGCTGTTAACGATATTTTCAGCCGCAATCCCAATATCTCACGAGATTCGATCAGTTTAGAAGATTTATATTAAACCTAAATATATATATATATATATATTTTTTAAGCTAACAATGGAAAAAAATCTAACCTATTTAAAATGCAGTGTGTGTCACGTCACGCTTGATGTCTCGAAATAGGAGGTGTCATAAGAGCCAAAATGTATTTATTCAGATAAAATAATTCGATTACTGTCTGCCCACTACGATTGTAATGAAGGGGGTTCAAGGGGACCGTGAAACCATATAAGTGTAGTGATTGTTGGAATAATAAGCCTAAAGTAAAGAGGTAGTGTGGGATCGCCTATCATGAAAGTCAAAATATCGATTCAGTTTTAAACTTAAATCGTTACCAATGTATTTATAATTACTGTGAACTATTTTTTAATGCGTTTATAATTATTATGAATTAGATATAGTTAACATGTTTATAGTTTCAGTGATACTCGAGGTGGGATGATATAAACCAGATGATTAAATCTGCTTCGGTTTCAGCCAATCAAACGTTAATGGTGCGTGACCGAGTATAAATGAATTCATCCAGTCTTTCAAATAAAGATTAATTTTAAAATTGTTTGTTAATGAAATGCTTATAATATCAAGTTAAAACTTGAGACTATAATTTGAGAAAATACTGTATACTATTATCAAATAGGAAAATAAAAATGGCGGGAGGGTGAGTCCAATTAGCCAGGGTCGCCCCTATGGATGCGCTATTGATCGTGTATTATTATTAATGAGTTTAGAGTTATCACCAGTTAATACTATTAACGAGTTTTTAGTATCAATAATCAAGTATTTATAATGAATATTAATGATTTTATAGTTATAAGGAATTATTTTTAACTGGTTTGTAAATTGATATATTATTATTAACGAATTTATAGTTATCATAAGCTTTTACATAGATATAACTATGGTTAATGATTATCAGAAATTAGACGTTTATAACGAGCGTATAGTGATTACAAATTATTAATCTCAATCTGATAGTTATCATAGAAAACGTATTATTAACGCAAGTTACTGTGAATTAGATGACATTTAAGTATATATATATATATATAAAATGAGGAATAATGACCTGAAAATTTTAAGTTTAAGGTGGTCATGAATTTAATATAACATGTTAAAATGTTGTTATCATAAAGTTGTGGTTAATACGATAAACCTTAACGTCTTTATATTAATTATAAATTCGATGTAATTATTGTTCTCTGAGTTCACGAATTAAATATTTCAAGTATTTATAATTATTGTGAATTCCAAATTGTTAACGTGTTTATAGTTGATAAGAATATAATTTTCTAAATTTGTTTACAGTGTATCATTTAACATGTTTATAGTTGTTATAAGTTAGAGGTTGTTAGTGTTTGTAATAATCATATAACACGTAATTGTTACCGTGTTTATAGTTAACATAAATCTTATATTTTAACGTATTTTAAATATATATAGTGAATTAAATATAAAAACAATCGAAGTTCATGTTCTGTTCGTATTCAGTTGTGTGAAAACCTGAAATATTATGAATTTGGTAAAACTTAAAATGTTTTAATCTTAAACAGACGTTACGATTTTAAAAAAATGCCTTTATTTTAGATTTAATGTTACCTTTGTTTTGTTTTTATATATCTGTACATTGTTAGCGATTACTTAAATAAAAAATGTTTTCTTAGTTGTGTATGAAAATAAAACAAAAGTAAATCAAATAAAGATTACTACAATTCACATTTTTATTTCAAATAAATAACATCCTACGTTAGTTGACAGTACAGTATCGCGCAACTTACAACGCTTAACAAACTTTGTTTTTTCTCAATTAAAAAAAATTATAACAATAATTTCCATGTGCAACTACTTTAAAACAGTAACTTGTAACGATATTATGCATATCTCAGTGAAGGTTATACACCCGAAATATTGGGGGTTAAAAGAAGAGCGGTCTAGGAGACCTCACTTAGCGGTGATTTAAGTGGGCAAACCGCTAAAATAAATGGGTATATGTTACTTATTTATTTTTGTTTGTGATTAAGACTTGGATATTGGTACTTCGTTATTCATAACTGTAAAATAAGTATTTTTGTAAATGTTGTATTGAAATGTTTTATGGGGCTCTAATTTTTTGGGGGGTGGGGGAATTCTCCCTAGAACCACCGCTGGTGCATATTTTTAGTTTCGTTGTTATTAAGCACAAAGCTACACAATGGGCTATCTGTGATCTGCTCGCCACTGGTATCGGTATCGAAACTCGATTTTTAGCGTCGTAAGCCCGCAGACTTACTGCTGAACCACTGGAAAGGGGGCAGTACATATTAAGTTTAATTTCAGTAGGTTCTGTATATTTGTGATTGAAATACGAATCGAAAAATCCCTCTTCAAGCCCAAGTCTTCAGTTCTGTTGCAACGATGAAATCTGAAGAGGCGTGAAAAAAATAGCATTATAAATATATTGTTATCTGCCACACGTCGCTGCCCAAGAGGCCTTTCGCTCAATGCCAAAACTTGTTAGCTGGGATGGACATGATGGCATGCAGAACTATTACGTTATTATGTTATTTTTATACGGAATACGAAACATTTAATTCTAATGTCATGGTGTTAAACGCCAAAAGTTGGCGAAGCAATGAAACCAATTTGTTTAACCTTAGTAATAAAAACCAGATGGACTGTAGATATTTTTTTAATCCATAATTGACTAAGTTCTGTTTATCATTAATGAAACGAGAGAAACTGTCATCTTTTATCAGTCGATTTCAATGATATTAAGCTTCTAAAATTTAATGACAATTTCATTACTTCTAAGATAAATGTAATACTAAAGCGCCATCTCTATAGAATGTTTTAAATTATGATCTATATAAAGACTGTTGACCATAGGTTTTAATAGAACAGTCAAAGGTAGTGAGAAAATTCTTCTAACTTTACTGTTTCGCTTATCTACAAATAACGTAAACTATACATGCAAAATATTTAATATTAGGAATCACATAATATTAAGAAATCGTTTTGAATATGAAACTAGTGTACAGGACTTTTCAATCTAAACAAAGCTCTAGAAAACTTCAAAAAATTATAGATTTCACAAATTTAAAAAATTCTCTCAATTCTACTTACTATGGGATATATAGACTGTAAAATTTATATAATCTCAAAATATTCTGGATTATATATCTGAAAAAATTGGTCTGGGAAGATAGATTAAAAAATTGGTTTCGAAAACCACTTATAACTTTTTTTTTTTGTAAAGGAATGAAAGACTTCCTAGTTTTAGCACTATTTATATTGTAGTGTAATGGTAACAACAAATATTATTCATATTAAAGTATTTACATATTTACATAGTTAAAAGCACTTGGTGCTATTACATTAGTTCCACTGACGGGGCACCAATGTAGCAGAATAAGTCACACATCCTGGCAACATTGCAGACTGAACTATAGAAGAAAAAAAAAAAAAACAGCAGACTTTTCGAATCATCCTACAGACGATCCTGGCAAGCTGTCAGTCACTATGTTGCCGAAAGGGTTCAGAGTGTAGGTGGAGCTACATTAAAGCACTAAGCTAATTATATTCTCCCCATTTCTTTTCCATCGACTTAAAGAATAAATTTACAGAGAAGACAACTCCATAAAAACTGTTAAAATCGTTCCATTTTGCTGTCACTGAGTTGCAGCACGGACTTATAACGTGGATAACCACACACAAGCAGTTGAATTGTCATACGTTTCCTATTTCTTTGTCATCGGGTTAAAGATTGGATTTAGAGCTCAAAATGAATTACACAAAAACCGTATAGACGTATTATAACCTTCACTTTTTTTATATATTATAACCTTTTACTAAGTTGGAGTACGAATTTAGAACGTAGACTGAGCTACGCAAAAACGGCATAAACTTATTATAACTTTCGCATTCGTTGTCAATGTGTTGTAGATATAATTTACGACGTAGACTGAGCTACACAAAAACAGTATAAGCTTATTATAACCTTTACGTTTCGTTGTCGCTTCCTTACGGAAAGAATTTGCAACACACACAGAACTATACAAAAACGGTGGGCTTATTATAATCGTCCCATTTCGCTGTCACTGAATTATAGAATGAAACTGGTTTATCGAGTACACTAATGTTTGAACACCAGCTGTCACGTGACATAGCTAAGTGTTTGTAAATCCCATGCCAGTTTGATCCCGACCTGTCACCAAGCAACAGGTGGGCCTTAAACTGACGTTGACGCTGAAGTTCCAGGAACTGACGTCGACGTCTACTGTCTTGTCTGAGCATCCGTGCAGCTATTAACACCAACAGAATTAAGATGCAAATTCCAATAATCGGAACAGCAATGACGGCAGCTCGAAACCATAAGTCGTACTCAAGCGCCGCCTGGTCTATGCCTTCTTTATATTTGTACATACCTAGTATGAAAAAGAAAAAGAAAAAACCTGTGTTAATAATAATTAGAAATGATACAGGTAAATGGGTTTATATCTGATCATTAAGCTGACCAAGTTTGTTTTGTTTGTTTTTTCTGAGAGAGGTAGTGCTAACAAAAATGAAAATTTAATATTATTGTTTTATATAGTAAATCATCTGTAGCGATAGTAGGCTTAAGTAATGAAAACAAGCTAATAACTTATACAAGCAGTAGGATTAAATATGATACGAAAAAAACATGTAATAGAATATCCGACGAAAATAATAACAGGTAAATATACAATAGCGTGTAAAGTAATTTACAATAAAGGATATTGTTCCGCACTGACAATGTTGAATATGTGAAATGTAAAAACTAGTATCCATATAAATTGGTATTGTTCCGTTAGTGTGGATTTAAACCTTATTATATAAAACTGAAACTGTTAAGAGTATAGTTTGAAATTCAATTAGTTACAAGCTTATTGTTTGACACTCACATCTCTGAAAATTTATTGACCAATCTATGACAAGCGTATTGTTTGACATCAAGTCTAAGACAAGCGTATTGTTTGGTAGTCCAGTCTGCGACTGGCGTATTTAGTGACACTCCAGTCTATGATAATTATACTGTTTGGTAGTTCAGTCTGTGACAAGCGTATTGAGAAACACATCAGTCTATGATAAGCATGATATGTTGACAGATTAGTCTATGATAAGTATGTTGTTCGAAAAATAAGGCTGTGACAAACGTATCGTTTGGCACTCCAATCTATGACAAATGTATCGATTGACACTCCAGTCTCTGGCAAACCTATTATTTGACACTCCAATCTACGAAAAATGTATCAACTAACACTCCAGTCCATAGCAAGCATAGTGTTTGACCTTTAGTATTTATAAGAATATCCTTTGACAGTATACAGTTTCTAAAAAAGTGTACTGTTTGACAGTTCGGTTCGTTATGACTAGAGGTGCGAATCTCATCATAGTAGTCGATACAATAGGTATCTAGATATTGATGCCGCGATACGATACGCATCTAGATACAGAAGTTTTACCAACGGTTTGTTACAAAGTTTGTCTGTAATTTATTATCTATATTACTAACA